GAGAGAGAGAGAGAGAGAGAGAGAGAGAGAGAGAGAGAGAGAGAGAGAGAGAGAGAACAGCTGTTATCCAGCACCCTCAAGCAGGGAAAATCATTTGAAAGAAAACCCACCAATCCTCTCCCGTTCCCCACAGCAGAGCCCATCATTTTAGCAAACTGACACTGGGAATGGCATCCTCCAAGAGGAATTTGGGCCTTTTCCTTCTCCGTTCGTGCTGGGATTGCTGTGGCAGCAAACTGGAGAGGAGGGAAGAAAAGAAAACAGGGAGGTGGGGGGAGATAAGGAATCAGACGGGTGGCACGAAGACCAAAGGGAGAACTCAGAAGCTCAAGCTAAGAGCCCCTGCGGACTTCTACAGACCTGCTTGTGTGGGAGCATTTGACTTTCCCCCTTTTCTTTGTCTCGCTCAGTCCTGCAAACTTATCCGGGATAATTTTGCTGGGAGGATTCGGGGGGACTCGAACCCGGAGGCGAAACATGCATTTCTTTTTCTTGATTTCCTTCCCGCACAAGAACCTGAAAAGTCACCAAGACAATCCTGCATCTTGGTTCAATGAGAAAAGAAACGTCTGCAAGAAAACCGCCGAGCTCAGAGAGCACCAAGGAGCCCACAACTCAACCCTGAGCTACCAATATCCTCTTCTATCGAGTCCGTTGGATCTTCACATCTCTTGGGAGAATAGATTCTTTCAAGCTCACCTGCTTTTGTAACTGTTCAGTGCGCCTAGAAGGAGGGGTCCTCGCTCTGCCACGGGGGTTGTAGTCAGCTGGGGAAGAGATATTAAGGCAAAATGAGCCCCAAATTCACTTTTCGCCCCAACCTAAGAACGCCTTTGAAAGACTACGTGAAAGCTGTGTCTAATCCTTCTCTAATCTTCTGGGGAGTTTTGTGGATCCATTCTCGCCTTGTGTCAGCTTTTTGCTGGGATGTTGCTTTGGGGTTTGGGGACTATCAGAGGGCACACAGCTTTACTGCATGAGACAACCCAGGAGCAATAACAGCAAATGGAGGTTTGTAAGAAATAGTGGTTTTTATCTACAAAAAGTATATATACTACACATACACGTACTATAGGCAGAGATCAAACAATCAGTAAATTACAGCAGAGAGGAACACGCAGTGATAGAGAGAAAGAGAGACATGCCCTAACAGGGCCTCTTTTTATTATACAGGCTCTTAAAGGGATAACAGCCAAAAACCTCGCTGGTTCATTCCTCTCATTACATCAGAGCATCATTGCATCATCGTAGCCACTGGGAGAATTTATCTTTTTACACCTCAAGATCGCAGATTTGATACCAAGCGGAGACTGGAGAATCCGCCCTTTGCCATATACCCCCATGCCTGCCCTACTTTCGTGCCCAGGGCATCTACATATCTTTCCATTAGCCATGGCAGCTGATAGAACCCGTTGTATAGAACCGCTCTAGAGGAAGTTAGCGCGTGTTCAGTGGGAAGCAAACTGTAAAGAGAAGGATTTGAGGCTTGCCCCACAAACCTTGCCAAGCTGAAAGTAGTCCCAGCGGTGATTGATGAAGGCCAAGATCTCCTCAAAGTTGAAATATTTCTTCTTACTTTGCACACCCAGGTTGTAGATGGCCAGGTGCACGACGTCGACCCTGTGTGTGTGTGTGTGTGTGTGTGTTGTTCAAGAAGCAAAAGAGACAATGACCTTCCCGTTGATGGAAATGATTGCAGGAAGGAGGTGGGAATTTTGAAGGTGAAGGAGTGAGGATAGCATTTTCCTATTCTTTCTTTGAATTAGCTTTATATACCTCCATAAAAATCTCCTCCTCCTCCTCTCCTATTTCTTGTCTTCTTCCTCCTCCTCTTCTTCCTATACCTATCCTTTCATCTCTCCTTCTTCTACAACTCCTCACCATCCTCCTCCCATTTTTCTTGCTCCCAAATCTCTAATCTCTCCTCCTCCTCCTCCTCCTCTTCTCCTCTTTCTCCCAGATCTCTTATCTCTCTTCCTGCCCCTCCCATATCTCTCATCTCTTCCCCTTTTCCTCCTCCCAACAATAAACCATTACAAACCCATACCATTCATAAAAGATCTGTACAGCAAAAACCTTTGAACAGCACATGAAAAAACAGGTCCCCCAAATCACCCGATTGTCCCAGCTCTTCGGCTCTCTTGGTTGCTCAAATGAAGGCCTGCATGAAGCCATGCAAATCCCAAACCTTTCCTTCCCCAGCGTACATACATTTCAAAACGATCCTTAAAAATGACAAGGACGTCGCCCCAGCCCTAACTTCGTGGCTGAGGCTCTTGTAATACAGAAGCCGGAATCTGGAAACCAACTTTGAAAACTCAGCGGTGCCGGGATGAGAAGGGAGCCGGACCTCCATGGTGTAACGTAGCTTGCTCATTTCCCTATTTCCCCCCCGCCCCCCAAGGGCTAAGTGGTGCCTGATGCAATAAGATCTATGAATGGAAATACTTTTTATTTGGGGTGTGTGTGTGTGTGTGGGGAGTAGATCTTACCATCTCAAAGGCAAGCGTTTGAGATACTCTGGTCCCTGATTACACATCGTGCAGTGGAAAATATAAAATCTGGAAGACACGAGAGAGAGAGAGAGACAGCAGGTTCCTATGACTGGTTTTTAGATGGGTGCAAGAACTGTATACGAGGCTTCCCGCCCCAGCTGCTGCAGGGGATGGACTACAAAACCCTTCCTCCTCGGCCAGCAGGACTCCGGCTACACTTACCGATCTCCAAAGAGCATGGGGTGGCTCAGGCACTGCAGGCAAGCTTCGTGAAACCACTGACGGCACTGAATGCACTGCAGCATCTTCAGGTACCACCTGAGAAGGAGCGGGAAGACATTATCGGTATCGGCCTCTACGCAGGTGGTCCTCATTTAGCGACCACCTCGGACAGCGACCGTTCGCAGTTGCGAGGGTGAGGAAAAAGTTAACGTTGTGGCCAACCATCAAATTTGTGACCTTTGAGGGCTGCGAAGCTGAAGTTTGATTGGAAGCCTGGTCAATTTGCAACTACTTCACCCAACGGCCGAATGGCCGATCCCAATTTGGGCAGCTAAACGAGCCCTGCCTATACTTTTATTTCCTAGGCTGTCGCGAAGATGCTGAGGGGAAAAACCATCTGGAACCGAACTGAGCTTCAAACTGAGACAGCAACCTGCATATCCAGTTGAGAGACTAGGCATTTGGGGGTGTCCTGTTTGCAAATCAGGGTTCCTCCAGGTTAACTCAGCCCTCCCTCCTTCCTAGGTGGGTAAAAGGAAGACCCAGATTGTCGGGGGCGAGAGGCTGACGCTGTAATCCGCTAAGAGAGGGCTGCAAAGCACCACGTAGCGGTATATAAGTCTAAGGGCTATTGCTGTTCATTCCATGCCATTTCCATATTTTCATTTCCATTTCTATTCTATTCTATGCAGTGATGGCACTTTAAAAAAATGGAAATATCTGCATCCCTTGGAGGTTGAATAGAGGAGAGGGGAGGGAAAGGGAAGGGAAGAGAACATATACATAAATACAGAAAATGGAATAGAATATGGAATGGAACCGAAGAATAGAATAGAGTAGAGTAGAGTAGAGTAGAGTAGAGTAGAGTAGAGTAGAATAGAATAGAATAGAATAGAATAGAATAGAATAGAATAGAATAGAATAGAATAGAACAGAACAGAATAGAATTCTTTCTTGGCCAACTGTGATTGGACACACAAGGAATTTGTTTTCAGTGCAGAAGCTCTCAGTGTACCTAAAAACACATTCGTCAAGAGTCATAAGACACAACACTTAGTGATAGTCATAGTCATAAATGAGCAATCAAATCGTACTAGGAAAGCACATAAAACCACCCTGAAAATCAAGATTCCCCCCCCCCCAAAAGGTCTCCTCCAGCTGCCAAAGCTCACCCCGCCCTCCACCCTCATGCACCCTTGAAGGATTCCCCCCATCATTGCCCGCGGTCGAACGTACTCTCCGGGACCACCGCAGTAGCAGTAACATTGCTGGTGATTGGTTCTGTGGAGAGAATCCCACTCCAGCTGTTCCGGGTTGTAACACAGGACCATTTTAACCGTCTGCAGAGTCCGGGCAATGGCTCCTTTCCTTAAGGCCCCGCCTTTCTGTAAAAGCAACAAGAAACAGCATTTTCTACGCATTCTCTCAGTCACTCGTTCCTCTTCTTCTATCTATGAGTCAAAGCGCAGCAGCCTTTTTTTTAAAAAAATGAATTATCTGTTAACCCAGTAAAGATTCCCCTCCTTGCACATCCGTGCTAGTCGTTTCTGGCTCTAGGGGGCGCTGCTCATCTCCCCTATGAAGCCGAAGAAGAGCCAGCGCTGTCCGGAGACGTCTCCGTGGTCATGTGGCCGGCAGGACTGAACGCCTTCGAAGGCGCATGGAGGAACACCGTTCCCTTCCTACCTTCTGACAAGCGAACTGAATGGGGAAGCCAGGTTCACTTAACAACGGTGTTGGACTGCAGGGATTCACTGAATGACTGAGGCAAGAAAGGTCGTAAAACGAGCCAAAAGAAGTCTTTCGCTTAACAACACCCATCTCCCCGTGTCTCCTGTGGCTCAAAACACCATAGATTTTTCCCTACAGGCACAGTGATGAGGAAAACCTCTTGTACGCCACTCACCCGCACAGCTAGTACAAAGATACACCTCCGACAAAACCAGGGGGTCACCAAAGACTCTTCGAGGCTCCCCACCAGGGGAAGGTGGCACTGTTGGTGGTACCCTGAGAAGGAGGAAGGGGGGGAACGGAGGGTTTTAAATCGATACGGAAGCTTAAATGCAGTAGCATCCACAACGGTATCAATAATCCTGTCCTGAGTCACTGATGATGTTAGCTAGTTCAGTCATGAAACATCTGCAAGAAAACCAGCAGAGAACACCAAAGACCCCACAGCCCTCCTCCTCCCCGCCCTCTGCAAACCTCACTCCCTTCTAGCACTGAGGATGTGCCCCTGCAAGTCATCTGGGAATCAACTAGCTCAAAAGAAGTTGGGGTCAAAACAAATCTCGCCCGGTTTTACTCAAAGTCTTCTAATGCTGTCCTTGTCTTTCCCGGAAGGTTTCAAGGGTGGAGGGGCCCTGCTGGATCCAAGCAGGAGGTTTTAAGCAAGAAATGGGTTTGGGGTGCTGAACACTTCTGATAAACGCTTCTCCTTCAAGTATGAGAGAGAATGTCAGCCTCCACAAAGTTTTCTCGACCCATTTTGCCGCTTGCTCCCTGTTGACTGCCATAGAAGCCAAGGGAGGGGTAATTTTGGTATTTGGGAGGGAAGGTTGCTGGAGAGCAAAGTTGTTTTCTGTGTGAACTAACAAGGAGGGGATGCTTTCCTCCTTACCGTGCAGCTGCGTAGACTTATCTCTACTAAGCCAAGGTCAACCATCTTGGCATACCAGATGAGAGAATAAGCACCTGAAGAGATGCCCACGTGACATTATAAGCACTTCAGATTGGATGACCAGCCTGGACTCTCCGGGGAGGAGAGAACTTTCAATATGTAATATTCGCGCCTATTCGCTTCAGATCTTGCTACCTTTTGTTGCTACCACATCAAACTCGGTAAAAGTATTTTTTCTCTACATCAATGGAGTTGACAGGTTTCTTTCTTGGGTTTTGAACGGAGGCACAGCTGACAGAGGCATTTCAAACTCGAGATAAAAAGGGCTTGAATTTTAAACCTGTTTTTACACTGCTACACCCAAGAGGGTACCTCCGTTACACACCCGCCGCAGAGGAACAATAGGAGGGATAGATCCAGGGCCACCCAAAACCAGGAGGGAAGATCTGGAGAAGGTGCTCACCAACTCCACACTTCCCACAGATCAAGATCTCATTCAGAGGCTCCGATGTTTTCTCCAGGCAAATGTTACATTCAGGCTGTTCACTGGGGACACCAGCTAGAAAACAGGAAGAGGGGAAAAAAGAAATCCGGTAAGGCCAATCCAGGTGTAGAACCGTAACCCCCCAAAGCTAAGACCATCCTGGGTTGTATAAACAGACAGAATCAAGATCACGTCAACTATTAGTGCCGCTTTACAAAAACCCTAGTAAGGCCACACCTGGAATACTGCGACCAATTTTGGTCACCATACTGTGAGGGGCGCGGTGGCTCAGTGGCCAAGACGCTGAGCTTGTCGATCAGAAAGGTCGGCAGTTTGGCGGTTCAAATCCCTAATGCATCGTCATGGAGTGAGCTCCCATTGCTGGTCGCAGCTTCTGCCAACCTAGCAGTTCGAAAGCATGTAAAAATGCAAATAGGAAAAATAGGGACCCCTTTGGTGGGAACAGCCTTCCGTGCGCCTTTGAAGGCATTTGAAGGCATCTCTGTGGCCACCTGACCACGGAGACGTCTTCGGACAGCGCTGGCTCTTCTTTGGCTTTGGAACGGAGATGAGCACTGTCCCCGAGAGCCAGAAACGACTGGCACAGGTGTGTAAGGAGGGGAACCTTTACCTTACTACAAAAAAGGAAAAAGATATTTGGAAAAAGCTCAGAGAAGAACAACTAAGATGGTCAAAGGCCTGGAGGCTAAACGATATGAAGAATGGCTGAAGATTTTGGATCTGGCTAATCTAAAGAAAAGGGGGACATGACAGCAGTCTTCCAGTATTTGAGGGGCTGCCACAAAGAAGAGGGGGGGGTCAAATTATTCTCCAAAGGACCGGAAATAATGGTTGGGAACTAATCGAGGAGAGAAGCAACCTGGAATTAAGGAGAAACTTCCAAACAGGGAGAACAATTAACCCCCGAAACAGGAGTTGCCTTCAGAAACTGTGGGGGCTCCATCACTGGAGGTTTTTAAGAAGCGACTGGACAGTCACTTGTCCAAAATAGTGTAGGGTCTCCTGCTTGAGCAGGGGGCTGGACTAGAAGACCTCCAAGGTCCCGTCCAGCTCTATTCTATTCTGTTTCATTTGAAAGGCAACTCAATGGAAGAAAATGCATTAGAATACATGGATAATTCATATTTTCCAACTGCCAATCAGTCATAGATGTGATTTTTGGCCAAGGCTAGTTCACTCCTTGTACCGAGGTTGACCGCAAAGGAAGCCAAGTTCAACTCTCCATTATTCAAAAGAGAATACGAACAACGCCCCGAACATGCCTCCTCCTTCTTTTTGCCTAGCACCTTTTCCAAGAGGACCTAGCTCACCCCAACTCTACCCTGCAAGAGTCTAGTCCTCATTCATCTCCTCACCCATCCGTATCAACACCTGAAATTGTGGAGAATTCCCCAAGGACAAGAGGCCAGGAATGTTCACGCACCATGCTGAATGTCCTTCCAAAGCACCCAGTATTTGGAATTATCTTCAAAGGTCACCAGGCAGCTCTGCTTAGCGTCACTCACCTGTAAAGGCAGAAAAAAACGCAGGACACAGACCTCAGATTGCAAAGATGGAGTAATCAAGGCTGGATTACTCCAACTTTGCAAACGGGGGTCTGTGTTCAAGTCTTAGGCTATGCCCAAGTACAAAAATGAAGGTGGGGTTCCCCAACTCCCTAAAACCACCCCACGTGTACTAACTTCACATGCTCTGGGAGCCCCAAAGTTTTAAATGGTCCCTTTCATTCCTTTGCTGGCTTTTGAGAGTATCCAGCAATTGCTATTTGTAGCAGGGAAAGGAAAAACAAGAATAAATAAATTTTAAAAAGAAAAGAATAAGCTTGGGGAAAGGCAGGAAGATAAGAAAGGGGAAAAGAAATACAGTGAGAATTGTCTTTGCGCAACAGTGGAAAAATGAAGAGATGAAAATGAACTAAAAAATATTAGAATGCACAGAAATGGATAGATTAACACTTAAAGGAGAAGGAAGAAACAATGTTTTTTAACATGGGATAACTTTTATCAATGGTTAGATGACAGAAACAGAAGTTAGAAACTTGAAAGTTTAAGGGAATGATTAACTATACAATGAAGGTATATTAATATGGATAACCAAATATTATTATTATATGATCATTATCAATTATATGAATATTATTATTATTTCTATTATTATTTTCCAAAACTACCCAGACAACACACTGTTCATGTAGACGTTGTTTTTGTTTATTAAAGAAAATGTATAAGAAAATGTATGTATGTATGTATAAACTGCCAACAATTGAAATACAAACAGCCAAAGTTCTAAATGAACTTTAAACTCCCTTAGCAAAGGTGAGATGGAAACAAGATTTTATTTAGAGATAGAGATAGAGAAAAGGAAAAAGTGGTATTTACTCTCTTAATCTTCCCAAGATAATAAAGCCCATCAGTCCAACGGCACAAGACATACTGTCCTTCAGGCAATTTAGCCATCAGCTCTCGCCGACTGTCCTGACTTCTGGCAACCCAGTCTGCCATCGATTGTTGGAGAGCTGGACAAGGGCTCCCAAGCTCAGGAGTCCCCATGCTTCTGGGCTGCAAAGAGAAAAGGAAAAAGAATATTATTTCTGAAAACATAGCATAGCTACGAGTAACCCCAGGGTGCCAAACTCTTTTACACCGAGTTCACATTTTCGATCTGTTCTCACCCATGGCTGCCAAGTTGCAGTTTTAAGATATCAGAAATCAGAACGTTTGGAGCAGGCAGATTTTGTTCTGCTGAAATAAATTAAATTCAGGACTGCCGTGCAATCTCCAGGCTTTACGATCAAGCATCTTTGGGAGCTCAGAACTGAGCGGAAGCACTGCACAGCCTCGAGTTTTGAGTTTAAAGATATCTTTCCTGTGTTGGATAAGAGCACACCTTTCTCCCTTCTGTCCTGGCCACTTTTTAGAGAGGCACGATTGGGAGCGTTTTAACAAACTGCACCCCTGTTTGGTTTGGTGGCCTCAGATAGAAAGCCCCTGCGGAGAGTGGGGAGGACAGTGGAGAAGAGTATAGGAAATTCATTTTCCGTTATTCAGGATACCACTCATACGCTCTCTGTGCTTAGCGCTCAAAGAATTGTGAGAGACCCCACACACCCACGGTTTCTATTTGCTCCCCTCTAGGGGGAGGTTTTGAAGTATCTATAGCAGGACTGCTAGATTTTGTAAAAGCCTTGTTCCTTAGGCCAACCCTTTGGTAAACTCGCCGGGTTCTTTTTCCCCGCCGTGCACACGTATACATTCAAACTAGATTGTGATATTTCTTTGTGTCCTATGTCATGTTATATGTGTATATACAGCATGTGGGTATATGCATAATGGTTACCTTTTGAAAGCTGAATGCAACAAAATTTCACTTAAAATATGCTGTTCAGTGTACATTGAAAGTAACAATAAAGATTCTATTCTATTCTACTCTCCTCTACTCTATTAATACGCCTGGCAGCTGGAGCCACATCTGCCTGGATTTCAACCCGTAACACCCATTACTCAATGTGCTTTTACTCCAAATAGCAAAAAAGGGAGATGTTCGGTAAGTTAGTAGCAGGGCCTCCTTTGCCAAGGTCTATTTTTGGCCTCTCATTCTTGGCAGCTTCCGATCCTTGTAAAGATTGTGGCATTCCAATGTCGGCGCAACCGGCCGTGTCCCGGGAAACACCCCAGGTCCCAAGCAGTCCTTGCTCAACGCAGACAAGGAGAGTCCCTGCTGATCGGAATGGCCAGGAATCTGGGGAGCTTGAGGTTCTAAGGTAGTCCTTGACTTACGGCCAGAAAATTAGCCCCAGCTTGCTGGTTCCAAGTGAAATGGTTCTTTGGTGAATTTTGCCCCATTTTATGACGTTTCTTGCCACAGTTGTTAAGTGAATCACTGCAGTTGTTAAGTTAGTATGTTGTTGTTAAATAAACCTTGTTTCCTCATGGACTGGGCTTGTCAGAAGGTCGCAAAAGGAGATCCCATGACCCCCAGGACATGGCAAAGGTCATATCTCTATCATATCTATCTCATATCTATCTATTGCTATCTTATCTATCAATCTCTTATCATATCAATCAATTAATCTCTATCTTATCTATACTATCTATCTACCTACCTATCTAGTCTATTAAAATAGGTAGACCCCTGCCTTAAAATGAGACACTCGTACTTAGAGAATAAAATTAGTCATATTTCCCACTCTGGGGCCTCCTAGCAGGTTTGGACTTCACTTCCCAGAATCCTTAGTTAAGCATTCCAAATTTCAAAAAGTGCCTTTGGTTTTCCAAGAATGAGGCCTGGAATTCATCCGTTTTTGCTTTTCAGAAAACCCACAATTATGCAAATGCAACACTGAGAAAGAATTTTTTTTAAAAAGCAGTTATCTGCTCCTCTGAACGCTTTTTCCTAGAAGTGTTTGGCAAAGAATGTTGCATTTCCGGGAGATCCGTCGTAGTAAATTACATCAACATAAGATTCCTAAAAAAAAAAAAAAACAAATTCCAAATTCTGCACAATTCTCCTGGAACTGTATCCAGTTGAAAGAAGGTGGGTGTTGAGCTTCTGGTAAAGCCAAGCCTTCTCCAAACGGATTTTCACTAACAGGATCAACCTAACAACAGCACTTACTGAGCAAAACTCAGAAATAAAACTGAAATAGAGAGGTGGATTAGGAGTGTTAAAAGAAACTTAATAATTAAATAAGGCATACAACAGTTGCATTTCTAGCAGTTTGGCTGGAGATAAATAATATCCCCTGATTATGAAGCAGATATAAGCCCCTCTTTATCCTTTGATACTTAAGGAAGAAAATGCATCTAACCAGGGAGGCCCCACCCCAATTGTAAGGTTGTCACTCATTTTTTCCTGGGGAGGGGCGAGATCTGCTCCCAAACTCCTCCTCTCTCTTCCCATCTGCTCTCTTTGAAAGTTTGTCAGGACCACCTTACTTTATAATTTCAATTCCTTTTGGAGGGGGGGACAAGGGAGGAAATTCTTCCTCCCCCGGTTTGTTTGTTTTTTAAACTGTGCAAAGCTCCCAGCATGACTAAGACCTGGTTCTCTCCTTGGCTTTCATTGGCTGATTCAAACGGTGTTTTTTTTTAAAGTACAAAGTTGTGCAAAATCTATCTATCTATCGCTATCTCTATATCTATATCATATCTATCTCTTTCATTTCTCTCTCTCTCATATCTCCCTGTATATCTATCGGTATCAACGTATCAATCGATCATCTATCTATCTATCTATCATCTACCTACCTACCTATCATCTATCCTATCTACCTATCTATCTCTATCCTTACCTATCAATCTACCAATCAATCAAATCTATCAGTCCTATCTACCTATCTGACATCTGTCTCTGTGTCTTTCTACATCGTATCTGTCTGTCTATCTCTATCTGCCTATCATATTTATCAATCTCTATCCACCTGTCAATCTATCAATCTCTATCTATCTATCTATCCATCCATCCACCTATCATCTCCATCGATCATGGCTAGGCTGGGTCTCCAGCGTCAAACTTGGCGGCGGCGGCGGCGGCGGGCGGGTAGAGGCCCCCGAGCGAAAGGATGCGGTCGATGAAGTTACCCAGCCGGGCGAGGACGCGGAGCGGCTCTGCGCTGGAGGAAGGAAGTGGCGGGTCGAGCCCGGGAGGTTTACCAAGAATCGCCTCCCTTTCGGGCATAAAATGCCGGGGAAGACCGACCGGCGCTCTTGCAAACCAAAGGGAGGGGCGCCCCTTGCCAGGAACACGGATCCGCCCTCCCCGCCGGGCAGAGACCTTCGTTTTTGGGGGGCTCTTGCTTGGGAGCCCCGGTTGCAAGGGGGGGGGAGACCGCTTGCGGCGAGGGAGGGGAGGCTGGCGCAAGGCTGAAGCTGGGGCGCCCAGGAGCGCGGTGGGCAGCGCTGGGCGGAGGGGAGGGGGCAGTGGGGTTAGGGGACCCCAGGCTAGCCCCCCCGCCCCAGTGTCCCGATCAGCTCCAACCCAGTTGTCAGTCCCGATCTGTGCGTGCCACCCTGCCCCGAGGAAAGCCTCCAGACTCGGTTGTTTGCTCCGGTTTCTCTCTCCCCCCTTGTCTCTTTCCCTCAATCTTCTCCCTCTCCCTGCACCCCTTTCTCTCCTCTTCTCCTTCTCTTTTACTCATTCTCTCCCTCCCCCCCTTTCACACTCACACTCACGGAAACGCGTGGTTCGCAAAAGCAAACCGCTCCGGACTCTGCCCCCCCCCCCATCCTGGCACCGACCCGGCTGGTGCGCGCGCGCTGCCGAGAAGGGAGAGGAAAGTTTGGGGCTTCCCAAGTCGGGGCGCCCCGTCCTCCCCCCGCGCCCCCCGCGCGCCCCCTCACCTCTTTTGCGGGCTGGGCGGAAGGCTCCTACCGGGGGGGCTCCCAGCCGGGCTCCATGGCCAGCGGGCGGAGGAAAGGTCCGGACAGGCGGAGGCAGCCCTTAGAAGTTAAGCCGCTCTTTGGCTCCCCTCTGAGCCCCGGGCGGGGTACCCCGAGCGCATCTCCCCCGCTCAGCAGACCCTCCGGGCGCCCTGCGGTGGCCGAGGTTGCCTGGAAGCAGCCTGGAAGCGACGGAGCGCCATCTTTAGCCCTCCTCCTCCTCCTCCTTTCGCAGCGCTACTTTCTCTCTCTCTCTCTCTCTCTCTCTGTTTCTCTCTTTTTCCCGCGAATTATTTCGGTTGGGCTCCTGCAAATTAGCGCGGCGGGTTCCCATCGCGCCGCCTCCGGCTCCTCCTTCTCAGCTGCATCCGAGCCCTTTTTTTTCCACCCGCTTCCCCTCCTCCAGCTTTCGGGACCGGGCTTTCCCGCGCGCGGAAGCGGGGTGGAGCCTCCCTAGCCAGGGGCAGTATACCTCGGAGTCACACCCACCCGAGCAAAGGCCCCGCGGAGGCTTCGGCGCCGCCTCTTGCCCGGTTTCCTTTGGAAGGGCTGGGACTTGGGGCCCTTGAGGCTTCCAGCTCCGGCGCTGCTGCTGCTGCTGCTGCTTTGCGACCCTGTCAAGGCTACCAAGTCCTCCTCCTCGACTTACAACAGTTCCTTTAGTGACCATTCCAAAAAAACGGCCCTGAAAAAAATGATTTAGGACCGTTTTTTCCAGCACTTAATGACCATTGCAGCATCCCTGATGGTCACACGATTTACCTTAGGAAGCTTGACTCATAGTTATGACGGTCACCCTATCCCCGAGGTCACATGATCCCCTTCTGCCACCATCCAATAAGCAGAGTCAACGGGGTGGGGGGGAACCGGATTCAATTAACAACCGTGTGACTCACTTAAGAAATGTGGCGAGAAGAGTTGTAAAACGGAAGCCACTCACTTAACGAGTTTCTCACTTAACAACATAAATTCTGGGCTCAATTTGCGGTCATAAGTCAAGGAGGACGGGGAGAATTCCCGCCCCAAACCCAGGTCCAAATGTTGCCCCCACAGCCGTGTCCCAGGGGGGTCCAAGAGCCCCGATTTCAACTCTCTGGGCTCGTTCCCAGCTC